AAATACAATATATACATATACATATACATATACATATACATATACATATACATATACATATACATATACATATACATATACATATACATATGTGGTTTTTTTATTTGTGCTGATAAATAAATAAAGGGAGACTAGTATAGATCTATTTCAAGCTATTTAGCTCTCATCAGCTAGCCATACCCTTACTGGGATTTGAACCTGGGCTATATGGCATACTAGGCACACTAGGCAGAGATCTTAGCCATTAGGCCACAGGCTCTTATCCGTTATCATTTTTCCCCAAAAAAGACACGAATAGCCTTGGAAGGACTTGCAGAGTGCTCCTGGGGAGGTGGGGAGGTGGGGGAAATCAGCAAAAAATGGCCCTTTTTTGTCAATTTTTTTTTATTCTTAGCCTTATGGAGGCTTATAGAGTGCTGCTGGGGGCTGGGGGGGGGGAAACAGCTCATTTTTCCTTATTTCTGTCCTTCCTAGCCCCCAGGATCTCCCTGAAAGCTTCCATAAGGGGATGCATGGTCATTTTGGTGAAGGGGGTGGGGCTTCGGGAGGCAAAAAAATGCTGTATTTGGTGTATAAGACACACCCATGTTTTCAGCTTCTTTTTTGAGGACAAAAGGTGTGTCTTATACTTCGAAAAATATGATATATTCTGATGGCCATCCCTGACCGGGGTGGAGATTCCCTGAAAACTAAATGGGGAACAAGCAGAGGTGGGTTCCTAACAGTTCGCACTGGTTCAGGTGAACCAGTAGTGGTAATTCTGCCTGGGTCATAGAACTGGCAGTGCCCAGGCTGGCCACGCCCCCAAACCAGTTCCCTAGTTGCTGCTGCTGCTGTTGCTGGCATGTTTTTTTTCTTACTGTTTTTTGTTCTTCATGCATGCGCAGAACAATTTACAGAACAATTTAGACTTTGCACATGCGCAAAGCACGCACAAAGCGAACTGGTAGCAATGCTGGTAGGAACCCACCTCTGGGAACAAGGGTCCATTTGAATCTTCATTCTGTGAACACTCATTTTATGACTAAAAACAGATTACAGATATACCAAGATCTCCAGGTATCTTCTTGTAAGAAAACTGAGTCCTATGAAATCTTGCCTTGAAATGTATCATTGGTGGAATAGAGGGCATGTATATAACAATATCAAAGACATAGAAATGATATGGAAAGAGCAACTACAATTAGCAGATTGAGATCAGCATCTTGTCTAGAATCTTTAGCTATAGCACATCCCATCTTAAGAGATAAGATAAGATATGGCTAATTTTTTTAAAAAATACACAGAATTAAGAAGTCCAAGAACCAGAATTTTTCTAATCTTCAGGAACAATATGACCAGCTACTAGTGCAGAAATTTTAGAAGCTTGAAGGCAAGTTTTTTTATCAGGTTTCTGTCTAACTTTAAATCACGTGAGTTCTCTAAAAACAACAGATTCATATTTCTCAGGAGATCAGAGGGCAGCCAAAGTCACCAAGGCCCAGCTGTAGCCTTCCACAAAGCCTTTAGATATTGGGAGAATCCAAAATATAGTAACAGCTGCATAATCTGCTCAAATATTTGCTTTATAATCTAGAGATAGCTACCTGATAGCATTAGCATAAATCATCCAAGTCCTCATATTTTCTAAACACACAACTTCCCATCCCATCTCTAAAACAACCCACTCATTTTATTATAAATTGCACTCCCTTCATTCCATTGGGTCAAATATCAAACAGAGAAAAGGAGTAAAGCAGCAACTAACTAAAGGATTGCTTTGTAAAAAGCTGTAATGGATTCTCAGGTAAGGTGGAAATCAGTGCAAATGGTTGGTGGTCATGCAAAACTTATTAACAACTGAGTTTAAAATAGTCTTAACAGATTTTTTTCCCTTGATGTTTTCTCAAAAAGCAACATACGCTGAAAACACTGCAAATATTTAGGACTGAACATGCCATAGACAATTTCATAGACATTAGTGTGGGATTTCGAAGTATTATTTTTAAATTTATTTAAAAATATTGAAAGATGCAGTGATAAGTGATCCTTTCAGGAGAAAACTCTTGTAAACTTCATGTAGGAAGGTGATTCAACTGATCAGATTCAACTGATCTGTCTTAGAATTGAGATTCTTCCAGCATGAGGGATTCACTTCCTAGAGAAAATGAATGGATATTTTACACTAAGATGCCACATGTTGGAATTAAATATAAAAATATCTTCCTGTTTTTACGTCATTGAATTATTCAAAGTCTAAATGTCTGAACAAGTTGAATATTACATGGTGGCAGTTTCATTTCAATTTCATCTTTTGAAAATATGAAATACTTTTCTGATCTTTGTTTTAGATGTGTCGTTTACTCTCTGCTCTGTTCCTGTTCCTAATCATCAGTGAGTCAATGGCCAATGATGTGAAAATTAGCTTTAAAGTCCTAAACAGAACGATGGAGAAAAACATTCCACAAATAAAACCAGGTACTTAAGATTGGCACATGGAAAGATCTCATTTAGCATCTGAGCTAGTGGTGGGTTAAAAACCTGAGCAAAGAAGAGTCTATAATCTCAAAGATTATTTGTTCCATTATTGAAAAATTGTTAGGACTTTTTTTCATATCAAAATTAAATATACTTCCATATAATACAAAACCTGTTGTGTCTTCAACTTTTCTATGTAACAAGCCTTCAGATACCTGAAGATAATTTCTTATGAACAGTCTAAACATCTGCAATGCTTCCTCTCTTCACCTACATATTTTTTGTTTCTTTCCAGGCTTTCCATGTTCTGTAGGGAGAACGAGGCAGGCAGGAACTGAGGCAAGGCAGGTTGAAGCTAACTCAACCTTTATTAACAGTTTAACAAGACAAAATGCAAGGCAAACCTTGAACAGGCAAAAAACAACATTTGACAGCTGATAGCCCTTTTATACCAGAGCTATCAGACACTGAACCAATAGAATGGCTGCATTCTCCCACCAGCTGGCTGCTCGCGTCTTAACCAATCAGGAGCCGGCAATGATAATCAATGGCATTGTAGCCTCAAGGACTTAACACTTAGCATATCGTTTACTGTCCTCTAGAAAGAATCCAATCTCTCAAATAACTTTCTAAATTGTGGTATCTAGATATGGACAGAATAATTTTATCTATTTGGGAAGAGAAATTCATGTTACAGTTAATTTAATTTAATGTAATTTTTAATTTAATATATTTTTTAAATTTGTAAGATCACCCAATTCAAAATGAATCTAGACAGCATATAGTATTGTTACTCCTCATTTTAAGAATATAGATTGATGGATTAAAAAGTGCATTTGACACTGGCAATATTATTTATGTATGCATTTATTTATAAATTTTTATCCCACCTTTATTATTTTATAAGTAATAAGCAGGGGTGAAATTCAGCAGGTTCTGACAGGTTCTGGAGAACCGATAGCGGAAATTTTGAGTAGTTCAGAGAACTGGCAAATACCACCTCTGGCTGGCCCCAGAGTAGGGTGGGAATGGAGATTTTGCAATATCCTTCTCCTGCCATGCCCACCAAGCCACACCCACAGAACTGGTAGTAAACAATTGTGCTTTTCACCACTGGTAGTAAGCCAGTGAATATAACATAACACTCCACCTCTTTTTCTCCATAACAATCTTTGAGGTGGTCTGAGCTGAGGCAGAGTGACTAGTCCAAAGTCATCTAGTTGACTGTCATGCCTGTGGCAGAACTAGAACTCACAGCCTCCTAATTTCTGGGTCAGCAACTTTAACCACTACACCAGACTGGCTCTAATCTATTGTAGATATTCACAAGTATGAATAGCCAGAGGAGTCTACTGTTCTCAGAAAACATTAATCTCATTGCAATTCTTTATTTTTCTGCTTCAGTTCAGCAGCACAGACCAGGGGGAAAATATTCATTACAATTTCTGTGGGTGATCCATCAGGGTTACAAGGAATTGAAAACATTATACAATGCCAAAACAATTGTTTTGCTGAACTCACAATCTTTAATTTGTCTTCATTCAGATGGATTTCAATTTCCCCTGTTCAACTAGGATAATTTTAGAGCGTGCATAGAATATATGGAAATTTGTGCTTTGTCTGGAAATTTTCAAAGGGCTTATATTAGGGAAATAATTTACATAAACTCCCCCTCCACCATTTCTTTATGAAATATTAGCTGATTTCCTTTTGTTTCTATTTCATTTTCTTCTCCCAGGCAATGCAATTAGTAGGAGTGCAGCAATGAAAGAGAAACAGCCTTCCAGTAGGAGCGTTGGTGTTTTCCATGAAACAACCATGAGATGGGCTTGGTTTCCTGGCTATGTCCCCAATGGAGCTGTGTATTACTGGAACAGCTACGCTAACAGATACGAATATCCTTGCAAGGTTTCAGACTGTTCTGCTGGCTACTACAGTTCCAGCCGGGGTCCTTACTGCTATTACCCATACGGAAACAAAGAACTCTCCACTTCCCAGTTCTACATTTTGGTGAATGATCATGGCTTTGAATCACTGATCTGGCAGTACGGTTCATGGGGTAATGTCCCATCCAATTCCATCAACACTTGCTCAGGTGACAGAGTATATGTTGGTAGAAATAAGTATGGATTAGGTAAAGTGGTCAGTAAACATCAAGCCTTCTTCGTTGTTATCAATGGTAAGGAGAAGGATTATAAAGAATATGATGTCCTGACCATTAATAAAAACTATCAGTCTCAGAGCATCTCCAATGTCAATTATGACCTAAATAAAGGATCCTACACTGAGGCAGGCATGGCATTAGCTTCCAGCAAACTCATCAACAAAGATTGTAGGGCAGTGAAGAAGTCAACCACCTTATCAGGAACGGTGACTTCTGACCATTCCTGGGAAGTTGACATGTCCATCGCTCAGACCCTCAGCTTTGGTATGACAGCAGGGATACCTGACATCATTGGAGGATCATGGGGCATTTCATCAGAGAAAACCTTCAGCTGGAGAAAGGGTTATACATATAGTGAGTCGGTCACATTTTCTGAAACAATTGAGGTTGAAATTCCACCCAACCACAGCTGTGAGTTGGTAATGGATGGCAAGAAAATGAGGGGACAGGTTCCTTTCACTGCTACAGCCACCCGTTATTACAGAGATGGAACTTGGAGGAGTGCCACCATCCAAGGTGTCAGCTCCAATGTAGTTGGGTTAAAAGGAGCCGCACAGGTTGAGCGCTGTGTCCCGATCCCAGATGCTGTCCCCTGCACTGCATAGATTGGGCTTCCTAAAATGCCTTTGTAGCTTTATTAGTTTGCAGCAAGAATGAAAAAAATAATTATTGTTTAGCCTTTAGAAGGATTCATTGAAAATTGATGTTTGTAATCCAAAAATAGTGACGTGCACGAAGCCAATCTTTTTGCTTTATTAGTATTAGTAAACAACCCTTTGAACCAAATTGTCTACAAAGCAGTTCTTAGAAATTGTTCTTAGACTTTAATTCTAAGTAACAGTATAAATGCAAATTGTGCTCATCTGTTCATAGCAAAGAAATCTCCATGCAAAATAGTAGTGCTATCAAGAGGAAGAGTGTTTTATTATTTGAGCGCTGTAATCTTAGAAAAAATGCTTGAGGTTTTGTGAACCTGACTTTTTCCATTAAGCTAATATCACTATCAAATAATTATTGTCCATGATCTCATTATAACGAAGCTAAGTTGAAATTAATGTTCTTAATTCCTTAAAAATAAAAATTGATCAGACTCAAATACATGGTATGTCTAGTTTTATTTTTTCCACCAGGTTTTTTTTTTGCTTTGAAATTTGTCTTCTCTTCCTCTACTGTTTTTCTGTTCTATTATAATATTCCTATTCTTAAATTATAATAAGGACTCTTACACAAAAGTGATATAAGGTATTACATTGTAGTTTGAAAATACATATTAAAGATCAACCATGCTTTTAAAAAGTAAATGGATGCTTTTCTTTCATTATTTTTATCTGACACATTCCCTATCAATACAGATAGTACTTGAGTTATGGTCATTTGATGAATGATTTTTCAAAGTTACAGCAGGGCTGAACAAAAGGACTTATGACTGGCCTCCAGAGTTATGGCTATTGGAGTTCCCTCATGGTTACATGATTAAAATATGGGTGCTTTGCAGTCCACCCACATTTACAACCAGTAGTGGGATTCAAGAAAGTTAACAACCAGTTCCCCCCAGGTCAGGTTGGCTGTCATGGGAGGCATGGTCTATCCCCATCCCCCGTTATCAAAGTGGATCCTGGGCACTCCACTGTAATATAGAAATGGGAAATGGAGCAGCCGGCATGAGGGAAAGAGGAGGAGCAGTGAGAAGAAAGGGAAAGTGGTCTCCTTCCCATGCACCGGCTGCGCTCTTTCCATTTCTCCATTGCAGGGCTGGATCTTGCTCCACCCACCAACACTCAGATGCCCTTGCTTCCTCCAAGAAAGTTGGTCAAGGAAAGAGGATTCCATCACATGCTGAATGCTGTAATAAAACCATGGCTTCCTAAGATGCCATCTCTGTCACTGTATAAAGCAAGGAAGGTGACTCAAGGCAGCAAGCAACTCCAGCCCCAACAAAGTGAAAGAAGAAGAAATGTGAAAGCAGCATCTGCCTGCCTCTCTTTTCTGCCCCTGAACTGGGAACTTCTCCTAAAGGCCTCTGGTTTGACGCGCCTGCCTGCTCTGTCTCTTTCTGCAGCACACCTTGCGTTCAGTAGGTCTGCAATTTTTGTCATATCTGTGAAGGATGGCAGGGTGGCTCCTGGTCTGTGTGGTGGACTGTGATACTGGATGAGCCCCCCACACCCACCCACAAACAGGGATGACTGGATGATTGGGCACATGGTTGGCTTCCAGGGATGGAGAGGGTGGGGAAGGGAAGCGGCCAAGCTGCTGCTGCCTTTCATTGGGTCACATGGAATAAGACGGGGCTCCTCTTGCCCCCTCACCAAACGTGGCAGGGCTCACTTCAGCTGGTTCACCAAACTACAGAAAAATTGAGTTACTACTTCTAGTGAACAGGTGCAAACTGGCTGAATCCCACCACTGCTTACAACCATAGGGAGATTTTAACTCTCTATCTCCCTCCTTAATTACCTATCTACCTCCTATCTATACCCTTTTGGACCCTTGCATTCCATGGCCTCTGCCACTCTAGCTGACCTTCCTGTCTTCTTACTCCCTCTGCTGATGAAGCAAGTCTGATCTGGCCCAACAGCCCTCATGTATATGCTGACTACATGAGATTTTCTTCCCAACGTTATGCATGTCATCATAAGATCTGGGGGAAATGGTCTATGTGGTGCCATCAGCTGCCTTGTGCCAGGCCATGGTGCACATGCCTCATCAGTAGCAGGAACAAGGAGACAGTGGAGGTCAATTGGCATAGCATGTAAGGTGGCAGAGGGTAGAGTGGCAAGGGAATCCCTGGAGGGTAGAGTGGCAAGGGCTACTACAGTTGGGACCAACCCCTGAGGCAGCTGGGGTTCCTGGGGAAGCAGGATTTTCCAAGGTGGCTGAGACTTCAAACCATGCTGTGTTGTTGAACCAAGTTGGGAGAGCTTCTAGGTGCATCTGTGGGTCATGCAGCGCCAGGGGTGTTTTGCAATCCCAGGGCTGCAATGTGCCAAGAATCCTCTAAGCCACAGCTTAGAGTGGCAAAAGAGCAAAGATCCTGGGGGGGGGGGGGGTGAGGCATAGGCATTTGAGAGGGACTTAAATGAGAGGTAGTCCCTTAACTTGGAAGAATCATCGCTTGAAACTAGGAAGAATCAAAGCAACCATAGTTTGGTTTGGAGCAGATTGTCATCTTAAAACAGGTGCAATTCAGTTAACAATGGCAACGGGAGAGCTGGGATGCTATTGCTAAGTGATATAGTCACATGACATCATATATTTTTTTTGTTTTTTTAAATATATTTTATTCATTTTCACATTCCATTTGCAATCACTTATATACAGGGTATTTACTATAAAAAAAGAAAAAAAAAGAAATAAAACAAACAAAAAAAAAAGGAACACAACTCATCATTCACAACCCCACCTAACACTTCCATCCTCCATACACCCCATCTACCTCCTCCAACTTTCCTTTCTCCCTCTAACCCTCCCCTCCTACTTCCCTATCCCCTCAAACCTTCTTCCTCCCCTTTCTCACCACACGCCCTCCTTACATACCCCTTATGCCTTCCTTACTCCTCCCTCCTCTTTCCCTCTATTCGAGTGTTGTTTAATCTGATAAAAGTAAAATAAACCAAGGGAATATATATA